TGGGAAAATGTATGCAAATGTAGAAGTTGTTAAAGAAGACATCGACATGTTTTTTGCTTCAAAGCCAAGTGATTTCTCTAATCAGGGGATTAACAACCTGATTGTAAGATGGAAAAGCAGCATCGATAAGAATGGAGATTGTTTTGATATATATGTTGTTCATGTTTTTTTCATTAGTGACAATAATTTCTTGAAGACCTAATACATATGTTTATTTCACTACACAATTTCTTAACTTTTCCAATATTATGGACCATTTCATTTTCACCATTCTTTATAATATATACTTCTTAACATTAATTTCATTTAAGTTATCCTTTATACTTCTTACACTTAATTTCGTTTGTGTGGGCTCCTGGTGGCTGGGGTCCACCCTACTTGCTTCCATTGTTGCTCACCTTCCTCCTGTAATGTTTCACAGTAGATTCCCCTTCCCCTGACATTGTTTCATGAGGATCCTTTTGTCTCTCTTTTGAGAGTGGTACTTGCATGATTCACCATATACAGCTTATCATTTTCTTGATTTTATGTCCTTTGGTTCTCTGTTAATCCTATCCATTTTCTCCGCTACCTAGTTTTTCAGTTTTGTATTACCCTATCTATTCTTCTACAGGTAATCTTTACCTTTCATATCCTTTCTTTGGTGTTCCACCTATATTTAGGGATTTTCATGGGATACCTCCTCCTACTTCCTTCCATGTTGGGATGTTTGCCATCTTCACTTCTTTTCCTCTACACGTGGCTTCTTTGCTTTTGGTGTCTTCTTGGGTGGGACACTGCTGTTTGATTCCCATCCATTGCTTATATGGACATAAGGTCAGTTCCTTTGTTCTTCATCAGTCCATTTCTTGGGGCTCCTCCTGTACAATTAGCATCACGTGGGGTATCTGCCATTCTGTGTTAATTTTTTTTTTAGTTGCTATTTGTTTCATTCTGAGATGTGATCTTTATTCTCTTTTACATGTCCAGCAACTTACGGTCCTTTACCTGTCATTCCTACAGGTTTTCTACATTCATCCTGTATGCTCGATGCTGTTTGGGGTTCAGGATCGATCGGTCCTTCCTCAGTCAATTCTTGGATCTTGCCCATTTTATTATGTAGTCTCTTATCACATTTGGGTTGGCTATTTCTTCATGACTGGGAATGTCCATGGTACACGTTCTTACTTTTCATTCTCAGGTTATTATCTTAGGTTTTTTTACCATGTGCTTTGGTCCCAGTTTCATACCTTGACCTTTGGACTTGTTTTGGTTCCATATGTCATTTGTGGGTCAGTCTGCATTTTACCCAACTTCCACATTTTGGGGATTTTACCGACACCATTCATTGGATGTCTAGCTTCGGTTAGCTCTTTCATGTCTTAACTTACTCATATACCTCTTCCATTGTCAGCTCAGGTAGTTGGATTTTCCAGTTGGATATGTTTTCCTGTTCCATACCTCACATTCCAGTCTCTTTGCGGTGGTATTTCTAAACATCCCACCATGGGGACCATCCATTTTCATCCTTGAATGCATTCAATGGAGTTTTCTGTTATCTGAGCCATTCATTTGATTTTCCTCTTCATTTTCATCTTTCCCTCTTCGTCTCTATATGTGTTGATAGTTGATCATATCCCATACGACGTCAGTTTACTGCTTCCTACCTCTCTTCTGGATTATTTCTTTTCACTAATGATCATATCCAGAGGTGAGGGATATGGTTTTATCATTAGGTGACTTCAGGAGAATGGTCTTCAGGTAAAAAGTCTTATCCCCTTCTCACCCTGGTACTTCTGCCAGTACAGTGTGCTTTCATTTACTCTCTTCCTCTTGTCTAGATTTGACTAATCTTGTTTCATTTCAACTATTTGAAGCTGGTGGCTTCTATCACTCGACAAGGGGATGCTCATTCTTGTTCCCTTTGCGGTAGACAGTGGATCTCCCTTTTTGAACCCACACACTTGACATCCGTCTCCTGGATGATCGTTTTCCAGGTGCTTTTAATGTTAGTTTGTTTTCTTATTCCATTAGTCTTCTTCCCAAAATGTTTGTTCATCCATGTCACTCTGGTTCAGGTGTTTCTGACTGATCTTTTCTGGTTGACACAAATCTGGTTTTCTTGGCTGTTTCAGCTCAATTTGTTTCCTTTGTTCTGGTTCAGTTTTGCCTACATGTTTCTGGCTCATGTGGTATATTTCTTTCGACTTTTTCGTTTCTAACCATCTTCCCCATTTCTTCTTGGTCGGATCCAGATGACCTTCTCTGTCTAGTACATGCTGTGAATTGCTTCATTTTTTTAAGGCTTATTTTTGTTGAATCCATTTCCAAGGTTTCCTTCTCTTACTCCACTTCTTTGTCTGTGATTTTTTTTCCATTCCTCCCTGACCCATAGAGTTTGGATTGTGATTTGATTGGCCTTTTATTCCGTGTATCCTTCTTTCTGTTATCAATTCCTGGTGTGTTCACTCAGATTGTGCACCTTCCTTTTTACCTGCATGTCTACTCTGCCGTCTGTTGGAGGTTCTTCGTACGTCGAACACTGGGTCTACATCTCATACACTCATCTCCCATTCTCTGCTTTGGGGAGTTGTTTTTTCCTTTTGGGGTACCGTCATCCTCCTGTTGCCATCCTTCACTCTTTTGTGAGACTGTGACTGGGTAAGTTGCCCTTTAGTATAATTATACCTCTTATTTTTGAGGGGCATGTACCTCTTTTTTCTTCATGGATCTTGCTCTGTGGTGAGTGGTGCCTATCCAGGTATACTTAAACTTGTAAAAGCCACACTGTAAGGCCATGATGACTTAACAATTATAATTCCATGGCCACTAAATGCACACTGCTGAGATGGGGTGTTCCACAAGATCGCTTGTAGGTTTATCCTCGTAATACATTTGCTTCATTAATCTGCCAGTCCCAGGCTGTTCTTACCCATGAATTATGTGGGTAAAGCAGAAGAAGACAGCTGCCCATCCCTGCTATGCCTTGTATTGAATAAATTGGTATGGTCTGCTTTTCAAAATAAGGTTTTGTTGGCACCCATTGCGCTGTCTCGGTTGTTGTCATTCCTCCAGACTCCCCACCATGCTCCAACCCCCCTTCTTCTAGTGGAGTGTGAGAGTCCTTGCCACTTTCCAGTTCCAAACCGCTGGGGTGGTGGACCATGGAGGCATCCTTCTAAATGGGTTAATGAAATACAAATACAAGCAAAATATAGAAATGATTTCACAACCATTCAGTTGAGAGTAGGGTGGTGGTTCTGCTGATGTAGATGAGGTGATATCCTCCATTATGATACATGTATATGTGGGAGTGAGTTGTCAAAATTGCAGTTCACCCCCTTTGATTGGAATCCTTCTTTCTTCCCCCATGTGGATGTCTGTTCCCAGTGCCTGGGTTTAGATTTAGAGCTGAACCAATCAACATAAGTCCTCACACATATATCACAGATGTCTCTATTCCATCACTCATTTATACTCTTGTTACTTTATCCCTGTTGTGTGTCATGGTGGAGGTACTTGCAGATTACTACGGTTCTTCCCCTTCCCCTATACCTCAATGTTGTTATTATTCCGAGGATGTTACTATGCTTGGGTTGGTTCCTCATTTTAATTTTGAGTGAGGTGGTTTTCATTACACAAACATCTTTTCAATGCTGGGTTCTCGGATCGATCAATCAATTTCTCACATTGTTTTCATGTGTCCCGTTTGTGCATCGGGGTTTGAGATTCCCTCCTGTCTTATGAACTTGAGGTGAAGATGGTATGGTCATCTTTCCTAACACCACCAGGTGGCTGGGTTTTGGATTGTAGTTGACTTATCAGCAGTATGATTCTCTTTCCTACCCCCACATAGATATTGGTCCCTGGTGGTCAGGTTTTGGATTGTAGTTGACTTACCAGCAGTATGATTCTCTTTCCTACCCCCACATAGATATTGGTCCCTGGTGGCCAGGTTTTGGATTGTAGTTAACTTATCTACAGCATGATCCTCACCCTACCCCAGTGTGGATGTTGGTTCCTGTTGGCCTGGGTTTTGGATGTAGTTGATTTGCCATGTACAGTCTGTCATGCACTAGCCACTCTATACCTGGAGACACATCATTTTACTCACACCCACATTTATGTATTATGGGATTGAGATTCATATATTGTGTTGTTCAGTTCCCTATCTAACCATAGTTCTCTTCCTATTGGATGTGCTACTCCATATTTTTGCCTATATCTGCGACATCTTTCCACAATGAGTGAAGAGTATACCTGTTTCAGAAGTGGTGTGGTCTCCCACATATGATCTTTGACACCAAAGATCTTTTTGAGAGTGTCCATAAGGCACTTTCGAAAGATGCTTCTTTCATTCCCTCACACTGGTCTCTTCACCTGTTGGATGTGGGATTCTAGCTATTTATGTGAGCGTAGGTAATGTATCATATTGGAAGTTATAATTTGAATATACTGAAAATGTATTTCCGATAGGTACTTACCTTCTCTAACACTTACTACCCTTCCTCCCCACTGAAAACTGGTGCTTAAATTTCCTGCTAAAACTCGAAGTGATAGTTCAGTAGAATTGAGTAGACGTATTCACATGCATCATGAGAGTATTTCGTACTCTTATTGGTGGAGGGTTGTCACATTATGATTTGCATACAAGATGCATTGGAATCAGGTCAATTTCCAGATGTGTGAGCTTCAAGGCCTGTGGAATGTGGAAATTTTTTTTCTGCATATTGAGGGCAACACTGAATGAGAATAGCTATTTTTGTGAGGAGAGGTAAGTACCTATTGGAAATACATCTTAAGTATAGGAAAATTATAACTTTATGATGCAAGTCTTAGAAATAAAAGTTATGTTAATTACAATAATTAAAGTTATTAGCACATGTAAGTGTTACTTTTAAGAGTTTTATGCATGTGGATGTGTGATTTCAAAGATTTTAGCAGACTAAGACTCAAAAAGAATAAAAAGCTGTAACCCTTAATAAATGTACACGTATGTTCTAAGGTCATGTTTTTTTTAGGTTCTTCAAGATTTGTTTAGTAGTGAAGATGACAGTCCTCCTCCTCTTTCTCACAGACTGAGAGGATTAACTCCATCAAAGAAACTTGAAGATAAGCAAACAAGGCTTGAACAAAATGGTAGAATCTCTCAGAAACCTTTGACTACATCTTTGAGTAGTTCTGGATCTGAAGGTTCTTTACCCTCACAAAGGTGTGTGAAGACATGCAGTTTTTAATTATTAAGACTTTTTTTAGCATTTCAACTGCAAAAAAAAATAATTAGTTATATAAAGTCCTATTGTTGGTATGTTTTTATATTTGTACATTTCCATCATTAACAAATTTTTAAATTTATTTCTTATTTTAACCTATTTTCTGTTTAGTGTATACTACTATAAACATTTCTAAATTTGTTTATTTACTGCTGGTTACCTCACCAGACTTTCTGTTAGTTACAAATGTCAAGCAACTTGCTTTATTGTGACCTGCAAAGTTTGGATGGTGTATTTACATTTTTCCTCTCCCTTTAAGAATCAAATTGGGTAATTTTCAAGTTATTGTACTTATTGTTATTGTACAAATGTGTTAGTTGTAACAGTGTTGGTTGAATCTTACTTTACTGTTCCCTCAGAAGTGAGAAAGTGTTAGTATTCAAATAAGGTAAAATATGGAATTGGTCATACAGTTTAATTCAAGAAAAAATAGGAAATTGTATTTTCAATATGGTAAGTATGCAACTTAATATTAAGCTTAATATTAGAAATATTCATTCTAATAGTTGTTTAAATAATATATATATTACACTTGAAAAGCATATTTGATGTTCAAACTGAATAGTATTGTTGCTTATCTGCTTGTTTGTTAATTTCTGGTATAATTTATTTCCGAGGAACTTCAGCGATACGAGTTCCTTCTTAATTAAAACTAGTTTATTCTTTCTCGATACAAACTTTTTAGTACACAGAATTTCCACAGTCAATTTAAACTTAACAACCTTTATAACACACGCTATAAATCACAGTGATTCACACGCTTTACTTATGGTGCCTACTGTTCGCTTGACTCAATTATCTATCTTTTCACTCTATCTATCTCTGCAATTGTACTGGTTTTTCTCGGCAGGCTTATATACTAAAAAAAGAGGGCGTCTAGCAAACACTCAGGCATTCACGAGGTTCCCCGATAATTTTAGAAACTCCAGCGAGCATGCTCCCAGCATCACGCGACTTCCGCTGTCATAACAGTATGATGTAAAGACTGCAGTTAAGTAAATTAACTTTGAATGAAAATTACATTCAAAGTTGTCAGATATAGCAACTAACAAATTAAGTACATAATTTTGGTGATTTTAATCCTTAAGTTACTGGTAGGATAGCAGTTATCTGATATTAGATTTGTGTAGTAACTACCATAAATATTTATGATGGAAAGGGTAGAGAGAAGAGTGTTTTATACCACTGAATATATTGTGGGTTTATTTGAAAATGGAAAAATAGCATAAATATTAATAAACTAGAAATACCAATTAATAATATTTGAATCAGAGAGCACTTTTCAAGTGTTGAGTGCACATCTGTATATAAAAGTTCAAAGTTTATCAACATCTAATTATAAATAACATTTCAAACTTTCTTTCAACAATTTTTACCTCAGAAGTAATTTAAATTGAGAGCTTGTCATTATGTAACTTAATTATTGTGATTCATAAATAAAAATGAAACAAATATTCCAGCTTTTATTTCTGTGCTGCTTCATGTAGTCCATGATCCAGAAGTACAAAGATTATCATGTGTTTTTGGAAGTTCCAATACCTCTATTTTTTGTATGATGGCCCTATTGAAAGAAAATGTTGCTACCTAATGCTGTTAAAATTGATAACCTGCAAGACACACTGTGTGCTATTAACAGGAATGATAGTTTAGCGATTCTCCACTTTCTGTATCTCAGGCTGTGGTAATCCAAATTACCACATATTTTCCAGTGAATATGCTCTACTGGACCATTACTTCACAAACCAAATTTAAAGGCAATCTATTAAGAATTTTGATTGAATTTTTTCTTCACCCCAAAAGCACAGAAACATTTGATAGAAAAATATACTTTTATAGATTTTTTTCAAATTTGGTACACTGATAGCTCTTTCCAACCTACAGTTAGGAGTATCATTTGGTGTAAATGTAAGCCACATGTGCAAAGTTATTCAACAAAAACTGCTCACATTTGATAAATTATTTTGCACGTCTACGCAAAAACTCATGAGCTATTGGTCTAATATTTTTACTACAGCTTCACCTGAAAGTTGACTGTTTTTAGTTTTTTCTCATTCGGATTAAAGACGGCTGATTTAGAGCAGCAAAACTATAAAGTGAAAGGATGTGCAGATACATAAGTATTGGTTAGGCCAAGCAAACTAGATGAGCAGTTTCTAGCTCAAGTTTTCAAAAGAATGATACAGGTGGATGATTATTATTCATTGCCAACTTTTCAACACAGATTTGCCAAGTTTTATGAAATTCTCCTGATTAAAGAGCATTTAGCATCATATGATATTAACATAATGGTGCTTGGTATAGCTGTATCAAGTGCATGCAGGTGATGACAATAATCTAGATTCCATGGTGTTAATATAAAGGAAGTTATTAACACTGTTTTAGAGAGGAAAAAGTACCACCATATATTTTAAAGAATCTGGTTGGTTGTGTAATGTAGAAGCCTGTTCCAAATAATAGGGTTGCAATCCTAAAGCTATTGTTGGGTACTATTGAGTGTCTCTTTCTTACTTGCTATTTTGTTATACCCATCATCATCATGCCTCAAATTGAACAAAAAATGTAGCCTGGCTAACTAATGAATGGAAATTTGCTGTATAATTCTGATTAATTCTACAAGTTTAGCTACCAGTGTGGCTGTAAATTTTGATTTCATTCTTTTAAGTTGTACACTCAATCCTTTTTTGGCCACACTTTTTTTTTTCACACCTTAATAATAAGAGAGTAACAAACTTCTCAGTGATAGAGAACTTTTTTCTCATAAGTACATGATTCATAAAGTATTCTTAATCAATACATATGTCAATGTGTCAGGCAGCCAAAACAACCTGCTGCAGGACACACTGTGGGTTATTAACAAGAGTGATAGTTTAGTGATTTTCCACCTTCTGTAGCTCAGACTATGGTAATCCAAACTATCAAATATTTTCCACTGAATGTGCTCAACTGGACTCTTATTTCACATACCAAATTTAAAGGCAATCCATTAAGAAATAAACGAGATATGACACCAAGAGTACAGAAACTTTATTTGATAGAAAACATACTTTTATGATTTTTTTTTAAATTTGTTACATTGGTAGGTCTTTTCAACCTACAGTTAGGAGTCTCATTTAGTGTAAATATAAGCCACATGTTCAAAGTTATTCAACAAAAACCGCTCACTCTCATTTGATGAAATTTTTGTGCATGTCTATGCAAAAAGTCATGAGAGCTATCAGTCTAACATTTTTACTACAGCTTCACCTAAGTGTAAAAGTGGGCCATTTGTAGTTTTTTCTTGTCATTCGGATTAAAGACAGTTGAGTAAGAGTAAAAGTGGGCCGTTTTTAGTTGTTTGTCATTTGGATTAAAGACAGTTGGTTTAGAGCAGCAAAACTATAAGGTGAAAGGACA